GCGAGGGTACATCGAGAGTCTCTGAGATCCAGCGGCTCTGGAACACGTCTTGGGCGCCGCGGCCTTCTCAGGTCTCAGGGCGTTCCGGAACGCTCTGAGAGCGTTCCAGAACGCTCTGGAACGGATCCATCCTCGTCCTAGAAATCCACCGATTCGGCGTGAGTTTAAGAGAGCGTGGACTCGAGCTTCGCTTAAGCTCCGCCCTGGAACGGGTTGGGGGCCGGGGAGCGCTTGTACAGCGCTTTCGGGGGAGACCCTGTCCGCTCTGGGAGGAAGGGCAGGGGGAGCTCTCTGGAGGGGAGGGGGGGCCGTGCAGCGCTTGTGCAGCGCTTTCCCGGGAGACCCTGTCCGCTCTGGGATGGGGGGGGGGGCCCGGGCAGCGCTTGTGCAGCGCTTTCCAGGGAGACCCTGTCCGCTCAAGAGAGGAGGGCGGAGGGAGCTCTCTGGACGGGGGGGAGAGGGCGTGCACCGCTTGTGCCCTGTCCGCTCTGAGAGGGGAAGTGGGGGGCCGTGGCGCCGCTTGTGCGCAGCGCGCCGCCCCGCGGGGCGCTGTCCGCTCTTGCAGGGGGGGCAAAGGGGATCTCTGTGCAGGCAGGGGGGGGGGGGGAGGCGTGCACTGCTTGTGCAGCGCTTCCAGGGGGGGCCCTGGGTCGCCGATATCCTGGACTTCGGGTCCCTCCTCCCTCCTCCTCTCTCCTCCCTCCTCCTCCCTCCTCCTCCTCCTCCTCCTCCTCCTCCTCCTCCTCCTCCTCCTCCTCTCCTCACCCGGAGCTCCCGGGGCTCGGAGCTCGAACTCCCAGGCCCCGAATTCCCGGACTCCGACGAGTCGCCTGGACCGCCTGGCCCCCTGTCCAGGCCCCGGCCTCGGCTCGGCCCCCCCCCCCCCCCCTATAGGGTTCCAGGGTGCTGATGTGTAGCCCTCCAGACCCAGAAACCTATCTGGACTGCATAAAGAGCCCCCCGACGGGAACTCGAGGTCCTCGTGCTGTTTTCTAGCCCTCCTAAAGAAGGTCAGGGCCTGTCCCCTCCCAGAGCGGACGGGGTCCTCCTGGAAGCTGCCCGCGGCCCCTGTGGTCTCTCCCATGAGCGGAGGCCCCTCTCCCCCCCGCCTCCCGGAGCGGACGGGGCCTTCCCCGGAAAGCGCTGCACGGCCCCCTCCTGGAGCGCCACTCTTCTGCGGGACGGGAAAATGACCACAGCCACTGCTTCTTGTTTGCGCCGCCTTCCAGCCGGCCGAAAAAGAAGCAGTGGTTGTGGTCATTTCCCTGGTTCCAAGCTTAACGAAAATGACCACAACCACTGCTTTGTTTCTGCTGGCTGGAAGGCGGCAACAAAAGAAAAGCAGTGGCTTTGGTCGTTTTCACGCCCCGTATCTTCCCCCTCCCAGAGCGAACTACAGGGCCCCCTCAGAAAAAGCTGCACGGCCTCCATTCCTCCAGTACAGGGCCGAGGTCCAGGTCGAGAGCCCGAGGCCATGGGGCCGCAGAGGCGCAGGAACCCAAGCGCCCGGCGTCAGCGACCCGGGGGCCCGACACCCTGGAGCCGGGATCCGTGCTTCGGGATAAGTCGGGAGCTTGGGATCCGTATTCCCGCGCTCGGGACCCGGGGCTCCGAATTCCCTGCTTCGCAGCTCCGGGCTCCAAATCCGGGAGCCGGTCCGAGCCCGGTGCGGAACCCGAACCACGATGTTGATCCAACGTGGGAGGCCAGTGGGCGACGGTGGACGTCCTCCGCCTTCTTCCCTCGTTTTCCTTCTTCTCCTCCAAGCGGCGACCAGGCTCGATCAGTATTGCACCTGATGTGGATGCCCCCTCCGAGCTCAATGACCCTAATCAAGACGGTGATCCACTGCGGGAGGCCAGTGGGCGACGGTAGACCTCCTCCGTCTCCTCCGCCTCCTCCTCCTCCTCCTCCTCCTCCTCCTTTTCCTCATCTTCCCCCCAACGGCGACGATGGCAGCGACGGCGATGACGGCGGTGTCGACGACGACGACGACGACGACGATGACACAGCGGCGCTCGAGCTGCCCCTCGGGACGTGGGCCACGACTTCTTCGACATGTATGTGCGGGAGAATGTCGTGGTATGCTCTACATCTTCGCGCGGCCGAATCTGCTACCGAACCCCGCGTCTGGGGCAGAGTTCCCTGGAGCCTCGACACAAGTAGAAACGTCAGCAAACGGATGGACAAGCTTCAGGTCTTCTGTTCTGCACAAGACAGAATCATCCTTCGGGTAGAGTCGCTATCCGTCATTAGACAGGTGACACGAGCCATTGTACAGGCAAGGTCACGAAACGTGCTTTCGTCGCCACCTTTCGGGCCTGCCCAACACAATAAATACACACAAACCTGGCACACCCTCCGCATTGTAAGCAACAAGGATCTCCAAGATCGAAGTGTACGCCTCGCGACAGCATACCAGCCTCGCTCAGACCGTTCACGGCATGCTCTACCGGACCACGCGGTCCTGGAAATAGGAAGAGAGGACAAAGGACAGTGGATACACCGCCCAGCCTTACATACCCTGTCTGTAATAAAGGCAAGACAACTCCACGAGTGGCGCGGGCGTGTGTGTGTGTGTGTGTGTGTGTGTGTGTGTGTGTGTGTGTGCGTGCGTGCGTGCGTGCGTGCGTGCGTGCGTGTGTGTGTGTGTGTGTGTGTGTGTGTGTGTGTGTGTGTGTGTGTGTGTGCGTGCGTGCGTGCGTGCGTGCGTGCGTGCGTGCGTGCGTGCGTGCGTGCGCGTGTGTGTGTGTGTGTGTGTGTGTGTGTGTGTGTGTGTGTGCGTGTGTGTGTGTGTGTGTGTGTCTGCAGCCTCCCGTAACTACCACCCGCCGGTTCTCGCCGGCCCGTCCAGGGCCGTTCGGAGGGCGGTGGCCCCGCATGGCGCGGGGAATGCCCTGGGCCAGCGCCCTGCATATCAGCCGACCCAGCGTGTGCATTTGGCAGAGCGTGGGCTTCAGCTTCGCTGAAGCTCCGCTCTGGAAGGTGGGGGGGGGCCGTGCAGCGCTTGTGGGCCACGCTCTCCGGCGGGATCCTGTCCTCTCTGGGAGGGAGGGCGGGGGGAACTCTCTGGAAGGGGGGCCGTGCAGCGCTTGTGCAGCGCTTTCCGGGGGGGACCCCGTCTGCTCTGGGAGAAGGGGGGGGGGGGCGCTCTGGAAGGGGTGGGGTGGGGTGGGGGCGTGCAGCGCTTTCTGGGTGGGACCCGGCCCGCTCCGGGAGAGGAGAGGAGAGGGGAGGAGAGCTTCGCTCTGGGAGGGGAGGGCGTGCAATGCAGCGCTTTCCGAGGGGGGGCCCTGTCCGCTTCGGGAGGGGAGCGGGGCCGTGCAGCGCTTTCCAGGAAGTGCCTGTCCACTGTGGAGAAAGGGGCGGAGGGGCTCTCTGGGAGAGAGGGGGGGGGGCCTGCGGCACCTTCCAGGAGGGACCCTGTCCGCTCTGGGAAGGGGGGTGGGGGCAGAGGGGGGGGGGCCGTCGCTTTCTGCGGAAACCCTGCCAGCTCTGGGAAGAGGAAGGGGCGCGCTCTGTGACGGGGAGGGGAAGGGGGAGCGTGCAGCGCCCGCTCTCGAAGGGGGAGGGGGGTGCTCTGGGAGGGGAAGGGGGAGGAGCGTACAGCGCTTTCTGGGGCGGACCCTGTCCGCTCTGGGAGGGGAGGGGATCCGCTCTGGGAAGGGTGGCGGGGCTGTGCAGCGCTTTCTGCTGGGAAAACCCTGTCCAACCTGGGAACCGCGAGGCCGCCGCCGTCGTTGCTCGCTGCCGAAAGTCGTCGACAATCATCGAACCTTTGTGGTCCATCGTTGGCCGTCCATTATCGACGTCATCTTCCATTCTCACACGAATCCAGAACGCCCCGGATCGGCGGCACTGGTCGAAGGACATCACAATACGAAGTTCGTCCTTCCAGGCCCAGTTTGGATAGCCCCCAGGGCTCCAGGAGGGCCCCCAGAAGCCCAAATAGAAGGAAACCCGTCTGGACCGAAGAAACGCCACAACGCTGGAGATCCGGGGACGCACGACATCTCGACCCTGGACCCCCTGGCCTCCTCGGGACCTCCCCCAGCATTTGCTTCTGAGTCCGTCTGGCATCTGAGCTCCTTCGGCGTCCGAGCTTGTTCGGCCGCCGAATGGACTCAAGACCGAGACCATTTGGCCGCCGAACTGGCGAGACTCCCACCAGCACCTTGCATTTGAGCCCGTTCGGCTGCCCACTTGGCGACCGAGCGGGCTCACACGCCGAACGGGCTCTGAAGGTAACCCTAGGGTACAGAGCCAGTAGAGGTCACCAGAAGTCGCCGGAGTGCCCCCCCAAAGTACTGAAGGGCCTCAGGTTCTAGACACTCTTTTCGGCCTTTCCAGGAGGAGCAGGGGGATGAGGAGCAGGAGAAGGGAAAAGGTAAGATGCGGAGGAACAGGAGAAGGATAATGAGGAGGAGGAGGAGGAGGAGGAGGATGATAATGAGGATGGTGAGGGTGGTAAGGACGACGATGCTGATGCTGATGATGGTGACGATGATGATTATCCTGATGCTGATGCTGCTGGTGATGATGACGATGATGATGATGATGCTGATGATGATGATGATGATGATGATGACTTCGATGATGATGAGGAGGAAGAGGCGGCGTCGGCGGCGGCAAACCGGTGTCGGGCCTAAGTTCAAACTAACCGAGCAATAACAACATTCGGAGGGTGATGATGATGATGATGAGGATGAGGATAATAATAATAATAGTAATAATAATAATAATAAGAAGAATAATGCGAATAATAGTACTACTAATAATAATAATAATACTAATAAGAAGGATAATAATAAGAATAATAAGAATAGTAAAAAGACGAATGAGAAGAATAATACTAATAATAAAACTAATCATAATAATAATAAGAAGAACGATGAAGAGGAGGAGGAGGAGGAAGAGTGAGGAGGGCTCACACGCCGAATGAGCTCAGAGGGGGAACTCTGGAGCTCCTCCCCCCCCCCCCGGCCGCGGCGGTGGGCGAGTGGCCGCGGCTGGCAGTGGCGGCTCCTCCCTCGGCCTCGGCGACCTCGCCGCTGGCCTCGCTGGCGCTGCCCGCCCATTTGTTCTGCAGCGGGGTGCGTATATCGATACATGTATATGCGTGTATATACATATATATATATATATATATATATATGCATACTATACATGTTCGTGTATGTATAAATAAAAAGTAGAGATGTGTACTATATATATATATATAGATTATGGCATGCGATGCCCAAGCATTTGTAGATGTATAAATTTATGTGCAGGCATACAACAAATCCCACGGAACTGCCTGCGTGTGTGAAAGTCTTTCTGGTTTAAGCCGTCGTCGTCGTCGTCGTCGTCCTCGTCCTCGTCGTCGTCTTCGTCGTGATCGTCGTTGTCGCCGTCACCTTCCCCCTCTGTCCCTGTCCATGGGCCCTCCTTTTCAAACGTTCCAGTGAAAGAGAAAACGAGCAACGTCGTAATCGCATCGGAAATCCCCTTCCCTTTGATCCCTTCCCAGTCGGGGAGGGGAAAGGGTCCAAGGGGGGGGGGCAAGGGGGGGTTCCCGGGGGTTGTGACCACCCCCCGTGGGGGAGCATCCCTCTCTAGCGCAAGCTTTCCCCTTCGATTCCTTGCCTCCCAGACGCCTCCGGCTCCCCCTTCAGGGTCGACGGCACCGGCCGTAAGGCCTTCACAAAATGAGCCGTTTGTTGTGTGATAACACGGGTACCGAAACCGATTGCCCTGGCCAGCCCAGCCAGCCAGCCTAATCAGCCAGCCCAACCAACCCACCCAGCCCAGCCACCCAACTAGCCCAACCAACCCAACCAGCCCAACCAGCAACCCAACCCAGCCAACCCGCCCAGTCCTCCGACTGCTATCCGTCACCGCTGAGATGGGGGGGAAATGTTTCTTACCAGCGAAAACCAAACAAATCACCCGCAAATCGCAAGTGCTGTGCGGGAAAAGTGCCACTCGCACAGTGCTATGTGGGGCCGCGATTCGCGCCCAGTGCACTGTCGTCATTCTTGCACCCTCGCCGCGCCCCCCTGGCTAAGCGGAAAAGGCTCCCATCCGCGCGCGAGGCTTCTTAGCCCGCGCGCGAGGCTTCTCAGAGGGCCCCAGGAGGCCTCAGGAGGGCCCCGGGCGGCCGCAGGAGACCCCCAGGAAGCCCCAGGAGATCCCAGGAGGCCGCAAAAGAGGATTTCTCACGCGGGGTCCCAGGAGGTCGCCAGGATTTCCCAGGAGGTCGCAGCAGGCCCTGGGAGGCCCCAGGGTGCCACAGGTGGCCCCAAAGGGGAAGACGCAGGGAGGTCCCAGGGGCAAACGCAGGGGATCGACGAGAACCAACACGTCATACATAATTCGACATGAGAGCACAGCATATAAGCTGGAATGGAGGGGAAACAAAATCCACGAGCCGGGCGATGAGGACAACTATGGATTGATGAGACACGTGAAACGTGAAAGCAAATCATAGGACGATGCAACCAACAGAGAGAATGTGTGGGGTAAGGTGACAAGAAGCGACAAGCCAAGAGGGCGACAACATGACGCCCCATCAAATCGACTTCGTCCAATTGGTTTCTACCTCCGTCAGGGGCGTTACAGGGTAGATCCAAATCTATGTGTATATCGGAGGTTGGGGGGTGAGATCGCAGTGCAACGGAGACCCCCTACCGGGAAATTGGTTTCGGTTTCGTGTTCGTGACGTGCGTGCGGGCGAGGCGAAGCTGCGCGCGTCCTCCTGTAGCTAGGCCGAAGGTAGGAGCGAAAATCCGCTCCCGTCTGCCAATGGCTGGGAGGTGTCCCAATTGGGCAGGGCGGTGTCCCTGGTGTCCCGAGTGTCAGTAGGAGCGAAAGCCCGTTTCCCGTCCGCCGGTGGCCGGGAGGTGTCCCAGTTGAGCCTGGCGGTGTCCCGGGTGTCCCGGGCGTCCCGGCGCTAACGCATGTTGCTGACTTCGTAACTCATTTATTCGGCGCCTGCGGCGGGCTTTCTTATCAAATCCATCATATCTGCTCCAATCCATCTTGTCCAAGCTAATCAATCTTATCTGATTGAATCCATCTTGTCCCATCTTATCTTATGCCACCCAATCCAAACTACCCAACCCGACCATCAATTCGTTTGTTTCTGCGCCTGCTGCGGGCCAGCCCAATCCATCTTATCTGATCCAATCCATTTTTTTCAAATCCAACCCATTTTATCTTATCCAATCCATCTCATCCCATCCAATCCAATCCACCCAACCCCATCCATCAATTCATTTTTGTCGGCGCCTGCGGCGGGCTTTCTTATCCAATCCAGCTTATCTGATATATCCATCTTGTCCAAACCAATCCATCTTATCTTATCCAGCCCATCTTGTCCCATCTTATCTTATCCCACCCAATCCAATCCACCCAAGCCAATCCATCAAACCATTTTTTCTGCGCCTGCGGCGGGCCAAGCCCATCCATTTTATCTGTTCCATTCCATCTCTTCCACTCCAACCCATATGATCTTACCCAATCCATCCTATCCCATCCACTCCGTCAAACCCAATCCATTAATTCATTTTTTGTCGGCGCCTGCGGCGGGCTTTCTTTTCCAATCCAGCTTATCTTTTCCAATCCATCTTGTCCAATCCAATCCATCCTATATTATCCAACCTATCTTGTCCCATCCTATCTTATCCCACCCAATCCAATCCATCAATTCATTCGTTTCTGCACCTGCGGCGGCCCAGTCCAACCCATTTTACCTGATCCAATCCATCTTATCCCATCCAATCCAATCCACCCAACCCAATCCATCAATTCGTTGGTTTCTGCGACTGCGGCGGGCCAGCCCAATCCATCTCATCTGATCCAATCCATTTTTTCAAATCCAACCCATTTTATCTTATCTAATCCATCTCATCCCACCCAATCCAATCCACCCAACCCAATCCATCAATTCATTTGTTTCTGCACCTGCGGCGGGCCAATCCAACCCATCTTACCTGATCCAATCCATCTTATCCCATCCAATGCAATCCACCAAACCCAATCCATAAATTCATTTTTGTCGGCACCTGGCCGCGATCGCGGCAGACTGCGAATCTCGAGCGTTCGGTGCCCTTGCCTTTCGGAAGCCGCCCTGGCCTTTCGGAGAGACAGAGAGAAAGAAAGAGATGAGATCAAGGTCACAGGCTGGAGGTCAGTCAGGGTGGGCAGTTGATGCCAATTCTTCCCCCCCAACCTCTTTATCGCCCGCAGGGCGGTCGTATAGGTGTGTATACATATATATATATATACACACCGCATAGACCACCCTTCGGGTGATAAGGAGGTGAGGGGGGGGGGGGGGGGAGGGACCAACGTCGCACTCGATCGATCTCACAATCGAACTCACTACCGATCTCACAATCGATCTCAATAGATAGATCTCACAATCGATTTGACTATCGATCTCACAATCATTTTCACAATCGATCCCACAATCGATCTCACATTCGGTCTCGCTATTGATCTCACAATCGATATCACAATCGATCTCGCATTCGATCTGACTATCGATATCACTATCAAACTCACTATCGATCTCATTATCGATCCCGCATTCGGTCTCACTATCGATATCGCTATCGATATCCCAACGTTATCACAATCGATTTCGTAATCGGCCTTACTATCGACCTCTCTATCGAACTCACTTTCGATCTCATTTTCGATCTCACTATCGATCTCACTATCGATATCACAAGCGAACTCACAATCGATCCCACATTCGGTCTCATCATCGATCTCACTATCGAAATCACTATCGATCTCATTACCGATAGTGATCTCACTACTAACTCAATCGATCGATCTCACAATCGATCTGACTATCGATCTCACAATAGATTCCACAATCGATCTCACATTCGGTCTCACGATCGATCTCACTATCGATATCACAATCGATCTCACAATCGATATCCCATTTGGTCTCACAATCGATCTCACTATTGATCTCATTATCGATCTCACATTCGGTCTCACAGTCGATCTCACAATCGATCTCACAAGCGATCTGATATTCGATCTCACGTTCGATCTCACAATCGATATCACTACCGATCTCACCATCGATCATCAAAATAGAACATCAACATCGTCATTATCATCACCATCATCATCATCATCGTCATCATCATCATCATCATCATCATCATCATCGTCATCATCATCATCATCATCATCATCATCATCATCATCATCATCATCATCAATATCATCATCATAATCGGGACACCGGCGAGGCACCGCGGGCCCCCGGTTGCCCGGAAGGGGGTCATTTGGTCCGGCCGCGCCTCAGCCACAGACACCGACGGGACACCGACGGGACACCGGCGGGACACCGCGGGGCCCCGGCCGCCCAGAACGGAATCATTTGGTCCGGCCGCGCCTCAGCCACACGGGACACCAGCGGGACACCGGCGGGACACCGCGGGGCCCCGGCCGCCCGGAAGGGAATCATTTGGTCCGGCCGCGCCTCAGCCACAGGAGACTTTCTCTCGCCCGCCCACGCAGCTTCGCCTCGCCCGCATGGCACGCACGAACACGAAACCGAAATCGATTTCCCGGTAGGGGAGCTCTCCGTTCCACTTCGATCTCACCCCCTCACCTCCTATATATATATATATATATGTATACACACAATGTGAAGTTGCTCGTTTCTGTTTTTTGGGAGGCCTGCTGACTTTTCCCCAAACAGTGCCAAAACTGTGGGGTTTCTTACATCTCCTCTGAGGTATATCTGGGCCCTGGTGCCGCCCCTGCTTTCCAGCCTGGAGCATATCCCTGTCCCTGTGCTGGGCCTCTCCTCACCACGATGCCAATCTTGGGGATTCCTGCATGTTTTTTGAGGGCGCCTCCCTGAGATTGTCATCGCCGTTTGGCGTGCCGATCTGAGGGATAGGGATAAGCTCGAGGCTGGCAACCTGCTGGCCTGTGGCTGCCCGTCGCCGTCGCCCGTCGCCGCCGCAGCTGGGCTCCCGGTGCCGCCCAGAGGCCAGCCTGTGGCCGCCCGTCGCCGCCCGATCGCCGCCGCCCGTCGCCGCCCGCCGCCGCCCGTCGCTGCCCGTCCGCCGCCGCCGCCGCCTGCGCCGCGCTGCGCTGCACTGCTTTGTGCGTTCCTTTGCATCGCACTGCGTTGCTCTGTATTGCTCTGCGTCGCTCTGCAATTGCATTGCTCTGCTTTGCTTGTTGCATTGACTTGCACTCCACTGCGCTGCAGCTCGTGGATTCACCCCGCGCTGCACCGTATGGCACTGTCTTGCAGGGCTTTTGCGTCGCATTGTATTGCTTTGCGCTGCATCGAGTTGCTTTGAGTTGTCTTGGGTTGCTTTGAAGTGCTCTGCTTTGCACCACCTAGCTTGCACCACATGGATTACACCACCTAGATTCTCCGTTCTGAAAGAGTATCGGGATCTATCCCCTCCCCAGAATCAACGGTACTACCCCCTTTCGTATTGCAACTTGCATGTGATTCTGCCCCATCGTCCATCACAAATTTGAATTCGTACCACTCCAAGCAGGCCAGTATCGACACACCCCCTCGTCCCCAGCAAAAAACATGATGTTCGCGCACTCGTTTACCACAAATCATCATTTTTCAAACAGCCTCTGCAAAACACGAGACGAAATTGTCGCCTGCGCGTCGTCGCGCGAGCATGCCACAATCTTTCCAAAACCGTTGTTTTCGCAATGGTGTGTCAAAATCGATTGTCCCGATCACATATGAAACCAAAAACATGGTTTCGCAACCAGAATTTCCAAATAACAACTTGCGCTCGGGTTCTTGCGAATGCTTAAGGAAACCAATCGGTTTTTTCAGCATCCCCGAGACAGCCATCGACAACGCGCAGCTGCTGGACAGCACCCCGCGGCGAGAAAATCTGCAAAACTGACCTCCCTCTTCCCCTTCGACGACGACGACGACGTCCTCGCCCATCTCTTGGACGCCCCCTTCGCCCTCACCTCGCCCCCTCTCCTGGACGACGACTGCCCGGAGACCCGTCTTCGTGCCGCGTCGTTGTCTGACGGCCCCGGAGCGCGGCCAGGGCCCGCTTTCGCCGAAAACGACAGCAAAAACGCAGTCTTCTTGTGCCCCTCCCGAGCCCGAAGCGACCCTCCCGTCCACGTCATGACTGCAGTCCTCGCCCCGTGTGCAGCTCGCGCATCCTCTCGGCGGCACTCCGCGACGGTCTGCACGATCTGACCGACTCTTCTTCCTTCCCGCTTTGCTCGGCTCTTCGCTTCTCTCGTGCACCAATCTGCTTCGGCGCGCCCCGCCTCTGGCCCGACCCGCGCCTGACCGCCCCTTGAACCCTTGCGCCCGCTGACTTCAGAAGTAATCCTCACCCCCCTCTTGCTGGCGGCGCGCACAATGGGGGTAGGGGGAGGCGAGAAGGCCTCTTAGAAGGAGGCTGGTTCTTAGACGGCGCCTGTCCAACATCCGTGGACAAGGCCCGCGCCTTCTAAAAAGCAGGGGTGCTCCTAAGAAGCCTTCCCCCCTCCCCTTATACCTCCCTCTGCGCGTGGCCGAGTGGCCCATGACCAAGAGAGGCACCGACAAGATCCCGCGACATCAGCCATGGCCAGCGTGCTTCTGCGAGGCAGGGGCCTCTCCATATCCACCGCCTGGGAACCCCTTACCCCCCTTATGCGCGCCGCCAAGCTTATTGAACAGGGACCACGCGTTCCGGCATTCCCATAGGCCCACCACGACAGGTTCTCAGAACCCAAACGGGTTCCCAAAAACAAGAACAACGATCTTCTTATCACAAGGCAAGACAGCCTCAGCAAGAGTTGTTCCAGTAATACTTTCGCGCGAACCTTGGGGCCCGCCGCTCATGCTTTTAATCCGAGCGGGCCATCTGGATCCTGTAGTTGTCGTTACGTTTGGGCACCGGAGGCCTGGATGTGGAGGAGGTATCAGGCGGGAGCCTCGATTATGAGCGAATTGCGAGGAAGTCTCAGGAGGGAACCCTCTCCCCATGGAGCCCGCCGCTCCATTCTTTGGTGGGCCTACAGGGAAGCCGAGACGCTTCGCCACTGCTCGAGCTTGGCCGCCCCCGACCTCGCCCTCGCCCTCGCCGCGGCCGCACCCGGGAGCGGCCGGCACGGGCAGGCCTCCCGGTCGCCCTCGCCCACGGCGGTGAGGCAGGAGGTGGGCAGCCAGGCGGTGAAGCCGATGGGCTTGGGGAACCGGACCTCGCTGCCGCCGCTCCTCCTCCTCCTCCTCCTCCTCCTGCGCCTCCTCCTCCTCCTCCTCCTGCGCCTCCTCCTGCGCCTCCTCCTCCTCCTCCTGCTCCTCCTCCTCCTCCTCCTCCTCCTCCTCCTCCTGCGCCTCCTCCTCCTCGCCCTGCTCCTGCGCCTCCTCCTCCTCCTCCTCCCTCTCCTCTTCGTCCTGCTCCTTCTCCTGTCCACGGTGACGCCGATGGGCTTGGGGAGGCTCGGAGCCAGGCCTCGAAGGCGGGGAGGCTGAGAGGGCGGAGGGCCGAGCCTGCAGTGGGCACGTGCAGCAAGAAGTCGGCCCGCCAGCAGCAGGTGCCCCGCGCAGGTTGTTTATCCGACGGCGACCCACAGAAGCACTGGGGCACCTCAGGACCCTGCAGGCTCGGTGAGTACCGTACTCCACGATGTCTCAGAGCAGAGTTCTCATCGTGTCTGTGATATACTGCAGGAGGCAGGCTCCGGAGTCCTTCCTGAGAGTGACGAGGGGCTACTAAACCTGAGTAGCGGGCCATTGAGCCAGACTAGGCTGGATTAACCCTGGGATGAAGCCACATTGCACCACATTGAACGGAACTAAGCGGGATTAGGCCGGATCAAACTAGTATCTGACTGACCACGGATGTACCGGCGCCGATGCTGAATCTACTCTCTCAGGAGTTGAATCCTGAAGTGCGGAGGGCCGAAGGGATGGAGCGGGAGTGGGGGGAGGCTGTGCCCCATCCGTCTCTTTGCGAACAAACCAAGATGGAAGATTATTGGTTACCGTCGGCCTCTGGGGATTCCCGCTGTGCCCCAGGACCGTCAACAAAAACAACGTGCCCCCCCGTCCCCCCCGATGAAACGCTAGTCCTGGGGAAATAATCTAGACCACTGGAGATCCGCTTTGCGAAAACATCACGACGCCGGAGATCTGGGGAGGGACGAGAGATGGGATGGGGATGTGGGAAGGATAGGGGTGAGTGAGTGAGAACAATCAATCGTGATTCGACGCCGTTGCGCTGAGTTTACCCCTGCGCCCCGCACCGTGCACCCGAAGCTGCTGGCGGAAACGCGGATGAGGGAGTTCTTCTGGGCGCTGACGACGCGACACGAACAACTACCAGTCTTCATATGTCAGGAGGGAAAACACACAGACACAATTAATCGTCGATTCCCAGAAAATATTGGAAAATATGGGAAGTGGGGGGGAAGACAAAACCCCAGAAAATATGGGAAAATATGGGGGATAGTTTTATTTGTGTGTATTTATTTGTGTGTCCCAGGGCCCCTTCAATATGTTCGACTTGCAGTGCGCCCAGACTGTGGGGAGGAGGGTCTGGGCAGGCTCGTAGCCACTGGGGCCTCCCGCTGCCTGCCGCCCAGGACGGACGCCGCAGTGGAAGCCCAGCAAGACAACGCGACAAACATCAAGTCTACACTTGCAGTGGACTCGACACCCAACATGCTCTTCAACCCATGTCTAAGAAGCCCGACCGAGAGCACAATGTGCTCACCCTACAGTCGGGGCGCTGACCTGAGGAATCCTAAATAAGGAACGAGGCCCCTTTTCTCCCGAAGTTGAATTTCGATTTCCCATGGAAAACCTCAGGAAAACAGAAGGCAAGCTGTAGAACAATCAAGGAACACCGAGCCCCTCCCCAACGAAAAGGGTTCCTTCTGCAGGGCCCCGACTGTATTGCCACGCCTTCGCAAGAACAGACACCCGACGACCATGTCCTTCCTGGCAGGGGAAGGATCCCGCGTGCACCTGTATGTACAGAACCACCAGATCAACCCGCCTCAATGTCGCAGCACCCCGCAGATGCGGATAAGAGTGAGGGGGCGATAGGGGACGTCGGCAGTTGGCTAGACTATGGAGAAGCCCGCCGCAGGCGCCAAAGTTTCACAATTTATACAACGAGCCCGCCGCAGGCGCCGATGCTTTCGTTCAAAACCAATGTGGGTAGGTCGCGGGTGGGTCGCGGGTGGGTCGCGGGTGGGTCGCGGGTGGGTCGCTGTTGGGTCGCGGGTGTAGAGGGCAGAAAATCCACCCCGTAATAATCACCCAGACAAGCGAGGCCGTTTAGTAAACACACGCAAAGAATGAATCGATCCTCCCTTGATGGTGGGTCGCGGGTGGGATCGCGGGGGGGTCGCGGTGTGGGTCGTAGGTGGGTCGCGGGGTGCGTCGCGGGTGGGTCGCGGGTGGGTCGAGGTTGGGTCGCTGGCTGGGTCGCGGGTGTGTCGCGGGTGGGTCGCGGGGTGGGTCGCGGGGTGGGTCGCGGGGTGGGTCGCGAGGTGGGTCGCGGTGTGGGTCGCGGGGTGGGTCGCGGGTGGGTCGCGGGTGGGACGACGACAACAAACAACAAACAACACTCAACAAACAACAAACAGCAGCAACAACACCAACATCAACAAACACAACAACAACATCAACAACATCAACAACACCACCACCACCAACAACAACAACAACAACGACACCACCAACAACACCAACAACAACAACATCAACATCAACACCACCAACACCAACAAAACCAACAGCAACAGCACCATCAGCAACAACTCCACCACCAACAATAACATCACCACCAACAATAACGCACCACACATAATTCCCACCAGGAATCTTTTATTTAGCCACGCGCCAGGCAAAATTAATGACCGTTCGGCCTATCACTCCGATAATACAACACATGTTCTGCGAAAGATAGGGGGAACAGGAGGCGGAAGGGAAGGTGAGGGAAAAGGGTGCGTTGGTGGGCGAGGAGAAGGCAGGGGTGGGGCAGACAAGACGCATTCGCGACGCTGTGGACACTTGCCGACGGTGGCAGGCTGACGCGTTGCACGCATCGAAGCGTACAATGTGACGCATATGTGTATGACCATGGGCACAAAAAACAAACATGCCCCCTTATCTCCTCGTCATCCTCGCCTTCGTGCTCCTTATCCTCCTCGTCCTTGTCGCCGTCGTCGTCATGCTCCTCCTGCAGCACCTCCTCTTCTTCCTCCTTTTCCTCCTCTTCACTCTCCTCCTCTTCTTTCCCCCCCGCCAGGAAGGAGGCGGATCTAGCCGAAGCCACCTGCACACCAAGTCTCCCGATGGAGCTCATTGGGAGTTGGCCAGGCCGGGCCAGAGCCAAACGCACGATTTCGGCGTACGAGGAATGGTCGACGCATGGGGGTGCTGAGGACGAGAGGGGGAGTGGGGAGGAGTGGAACGAGCAGGGGAAGTCGCAGGGGGCTCTACAAGGCTCCTCCTATGACGGTGATGACGATAATGATGATGCATGTTTTGTGTGTGTGGGGGTTGGTTGATGATGCAAGAGGTCTAGAATAAGGGACGGGATGCAGCGGATGAGGATCGATGGGGGGGAGGGGGAGGAGGGGGGGAGGAGGGGAGGAGGAGGAGGAGAGGAGGAGGAGGAGGTGGAGGGGAGGAGGAGGAGGAGGAGGAGGAGAGGAGGAGGAGGAGGAGGAGGAGGAGGAGGAGGAGGAGGAGGAGGAGGAGGAGGAGGAGGAGGAGGAGGGGAGGAGGAGCAGGGGGAGGAGGAGGAGGAGGAGGAGGAGGAGGAGGAGGAGGAGGAGGAGGAGGAGGAGGAGGAGGAGGAGGAGGAGGAGTGCACGTGCTCAAACAGAGGCGAGACGAGGGCAAGCGGGCAAGACGCGAGAAGAGGGCAAAACTTCGTCTCGCTCCCTGCCTTTTGCCGCTAGGCCTACCTCAAGATGCACTTTGTACGCTCGACGCTCTGGCCGCCAACGCTGGGCCATACACAATGAGTGGAGGGATGTAAGTCATGAGCTGCATTCGGGAACGAGGGAAACGCAGGGATGGTGGGAAGGGCGGGGGACGAAGGGCAGTGAGGAGTGTGCCAGGTGCGGAGCGTAGGGCTACGTTGATTGACGGGTGGCCACGGCGGCCTCATGTGCACCATCAGCCACGCGAGGCGGTCGAGCGGCGTGAGCAACATCATGCAGATGTTCAGCGACAGCCGCGCCAGGCGGCAGGACGGCGCGAGCAACGTCATGCAGGCCGTCTTCGGGATCCACCAAATCTGATTGGTACACGAATGATCTATTGACACAACGTGCTATTGATACGTTCCGGAAATTCCGGGATTTCTAACAGCCCTCGCGCGGGGTACACCTTGCGTCGAGGTTTGTCTGCTCTGGCTGGCGCCGCTGGTCAGTCAGTCATTCGCAATCGAGTGGTCGCCCGTAAAGGGCTATTTGGCAGTTGCTGACCCCCCCTCTCGTTGCCGAGCGCGGGGGGGGCGGTGGCGCACCGTCCCATCGCCCGCCGCCGCGCACCGCGCGCCTCGGCAGATCCCCAAAGACCTGGCAAGGCAAAGCATGCTCGACTCTGGAAAATTCTCCAGGGGTAAAATTGAACAAAGCTGGGAACATGTTTGAACATGTCTGGCCTACTTTTTGAAAATGTCCGGGGTCGTTTTTTGAAAATTTCCGGGATCGATTTTGAAAAATTCCGGAATCCATTTTGAAAATTTCCGGAATTCAGAACTCTTCAGATGTCCTGCGCGGCGGGCGCATTCCACCCCTCAAAACTGTTTTTTTTTTTTTTTTTTTTTTTTTTTTTTAAAATTTCCGGGCTTCTTTTTGCAAGAATTCCGGAACCGCTCGTGCGGAAAAAAGCGGAAGCGTTTTCTGACACACTCTACAATCCAGAAATAATGTCCGGGCGGTCCGCAAGGTGCGGCTGGCTGATTCACGCGCCGCGCCGCGCGCGATTGGGCGCAGCGCGCGCCGCGCGTTGCACCCGCGAGCAGCACTCGAAGGGGCTACCTCGAAAACAGCGCCACGGCAGCGGCGACTCGCGGACTCCCCAAAATCAACACAGCATGCAGCTTGGAATCTTCGAAGGCGCTCCGGTGCGCGAAAAACGCACCGCGAACATCACGCAAAAAAACCTGCGCGGCGGAATGCGCTCGACCATTCGTCCCTGGAGCCCCCGCGGAAGAACAGGAAAACCTGGAAAT